CTCTGTGAAGAGGAGGCAGGACCCACACACAAAGAAGATGCCCAAAGAACTCTGGGAAAACCCTCAGCACGGAACTTCCTGAATACCTCTGCGAGGATTTGGATGGCACAAAAGTTACTGAGTTATTACTAAGTTGTGTTTCCTCTGTGAAGGTGAGGCAGGAGCCAGACACAAAGAAGAGCTAGGATGCCCAAAGACCCAGAAAGAAAACAACTGTGCTACCTTGCTGCAACCAGATTCACCATTCTTGGTCCTTTCCCAATGGGGAATGCCCTGCAGGCACTTTGGTGGGGACCAGTCCCAATATACCAGAAACGATATATGTCATCTGCACACAACTGTGGCACAGGTGGAAATGGTAGCCCTTCTACTGTTCCTGCTCCCTTGGAAATTTCCACTGTTGCCTTCCCTGCAGTGCTAACGATGCTTATCCATATTCCTTATTTTCATGATACTTAACAAATACAAAGCACTTTCACAAAGCTTCAGGTAGCCCATAGGGGGAAACCGAGGCAGAGTGACTTCATAAGAATGCTCAGGTGCTAAGAAGCCAAACCAAGATTCAAGCTCAAATCCTTGACCTCCAAATCCAAAGCTCTTGCCATGACACCATCATTATCCCATTTGAGCTTTATAACAATTTTGCAGGTAGGGAAGATTTTTTTAGGCTCTTTTTTTTAAAATAGAATTATTTATTATTAAAATAGAATTATTTATTATTTAAATAGAATTTTTAAATAGAAAGGGAAACCAAGGCTCAGAAGGGATGCAGTGATTTTTCCAGGATCACACTGCTACTAGGTGGCCATCTTGGGATGCTGTCCCCAAGTCTTGTATTCACTTTACCTACCAAAGTTGGGTCTTCCATTTTCATGCAATTAAGTTTGCTAATTATTATCAACAAAGAATGGCTGGTTCTTGGGGTATAATGGAAACAGCACCAGATTTGGAGCTGGCAAGACCTGAATTCAAGTCCCACTTCTTATACATGTGACCCTGGACAAGATGCTTAACCCCTTCTCAGCCTCAGTTTCTTCATCTGTAAAACTGGGATAATATCAATATCTACCTCACAGGTTTGTTGTGAGAGTCAAACGAGAAATGTATGTAAAGCATTTTGTAAACTTTAAATGCTACAAAAAGCAAGGGATGATGATGACAGCCCCTAGCACCTTTTAGAAGTTGAGTATTTTCCTACTTAAAGAAAAATGGGAAAGGTGTGAGTTGCATCAAAAATGACAATTAGGAACTGGCTCCAAGTGATTCTCTGCTCAGAGATTATACCTGACCAGGCTGTCATGCAAAGGTCATAGCTCAGTTTACAAACAGTATCTCTAGTGATCCAGGGACTGAAAGATGGAGCTGCACTCACTCGCCTTTGTGATATAAGGTCTATTGTTTTTGGCAAGTAGAAACATTTTCCTTGAGGAGCAAGCAAGACATTTTTAACTTCTCATAAGTCGTAAGTCATAAGTAGATAAGTCAGATGCAACGAGTAAGAAAATCAGTCTAAGGATCAAGCAAAGCAGCTCCCCCTCCCCCCCATTTGGGGTCCTCCCCCAGGAATAATTCCAGTGGTTGTATTTTTAACCACTTGCCATATTTATTCTGCCATTGACTATGACAGTATCCCAGTTGGGTGCTCCTGGAGCCAGAAGGATGGAAGGAGACGTAACAACAGGCCTGTGAGGGAGGCACCATGATTTCTATGTCTCATAAAAATGGAGGAAGTTGCCTGTGGTCAGACTGGATTCAGATCCAGGCTTTCCTGCCTTCCCCACCTTTATCACAATGCCTCTCGCCAAGGACTTAACAAAGGACCTTCTCACTCTTCCTAGAGGCAGCTGCTGGCCCAAACCACAGAGTCAGCAAGATCTGGGTTCTAATCCAGGTTCTTAAGCTTAAGCTGTGTGATGCAGAACAAATCTCTTCTGTTTGCCTCAGTTTCCTCAACTGTAACATGGGGATAAGAAGAGCACTTTCCTCTGAGGGTGATTGTGAGGATCAAATGAGATAATATTTGTAAAGAGCTTAGCACAGCGCACACAGTAGGTGCTACATAAATGCTCATTCCCATCCCTCCCTTTCTCATACATACCATTTTTTACCTCTATTCCTTTGTACTGGCTGTCTCCAATAACAGAGATGAACCCCCTCCTCACCTCTACCTTTTAGAATTCCATCTTACACAGAAAGCCCAGCTCAAGCAAGGGATCGCAATATTTTTTTTTATGTCATGGCCCGCTTTGGCAGCCTAGTGAGTCCTACAGACTACTCAGAAGCATGTTCTTAAGTGTATACAACAAAATATATGAGATAATAAGGGAAACCAATTCTACTGAAATGTAATTATCAAAGTTTTTTTTAAACAAGGTCAGGAACCCCAGGTTAAGAACCCCCGTTCTTCAGGAAACCTCTCTTGACTGCTCCTACACCCCTCATTCTCCCCGCCACCCCTACCCCTGAAGGTGCTGGTACTTTCCCCACAAATTACCTTGAATTGATTTTGCATGTTATTGATTCCCATGTTGACTCCTAAAAAATCTAAGCTGATGCTCTTTGTGTGGTGGCCAAAAATTGGAAATTGAGAGATGCCCATCAACTGGTGAATGGCTGAACAAGTTGTGGTATATGAATGTAATGGAATACTATTACGCTAGAAGAAATGATGAACAGGCTGACTTCAGAAAAACCTGGAAAGACTTGTATGATCTGACAGTGAGTGAAGTGAGGAAAACCAGGAGAACATTGTACACATTAACAACCATATTGTGTGATGACTGACTATGATAGACTTAGCTCTTCTCAGCAATGCAAGGACCTAAGACATCTCCAAAAGTCTCATGATGGAAAATGCTATCCACATCCAGAGAAAGAACTATGGAGTTTGAATGTAGATCAAATCATACTATTTGTTCTCTTTATTTTTCTGTTTTGTTTCCTCTTTTTTGTGGTTCCTCCTATTGGTTCTAATTCTTCCTTATGACATGACCAATGTGAAAATGCTTAATAGGAATGTATATATAGAGCCTATATCAGATTGCATGCTGTCTTTGGGAGGGAGGTGTGGAAGGAGGTGGAGAAAATTTAAAACTCAAAAGCTTATGGAAGTGAATGTAGAAAACTTAAAATAAATTAATTAATTAAAAAAAAAGAATGTAAGCTGCTGGAGGGCAGGAATGATTGATGTTTTTGTCTTTGCACATAGTAGGCACTTCATAAATGTTAACTTGAGGAATACGAAAGGACTACTTTCAAAAGGAATTCAGAGAAAAGGCATAGTCTCCAGGTGCTAAAAACACATACATACATACATACACACACACACAAACACACATACACATATATATGCCCAATACTTTCATTGCTAGTTTATGGCCTGAATCATGTATCTCTCTGAGGTTTGTGGGTCAATGCCACAAATAAACCAAGTCTTCTTTGGATGGAATTTTTTGACCTTGACTCTTGGCAGTCGAGGTCAAAAGGAAGTATTCCCATTTCCAAACTTGCAAAAGGCAGTAAAAGAAAGTTCCCTTTGAAAGGAAGTTCGCTAAGGCTACAGAATCATAGAATCTCAGAGTTGAACCACAGCTCATTTAGTCTAAAGCCTACTCGCCCCCCCCAAAAGGAAATCCCTCTCCAACCTGACAAATGTTATCCAACCTTTGCAGCTAGGTGGCACAGTGGGTAGAGCACTGGGCTTGGAGTCGGGAAGACCTGAGTTCAAATCTAGCCTTGAACAATTCTTAATTGTGTGACCTTGGGTGAATCATTTCACCTCTGTCTGCCTCAGTAAAATGAGGACAATAATAGCAACCACCTCCCAGGGAGGTGAGGATCAAATGAGATAATAATTGTGAGATGCTTAGCACAGTGCCTGGCACACAGTAGGTGCTTAATAAATGCTTCTTCTCTTTCTACACCCCCCTAGTTTGATGAGGGAAGGGGCACCCATGGTTTCCCAAGGTAGACTCTATATACTAGGAAGTGTTTCTTTACATCAAGTATCAGCTTGCTTCTTTGCAATTTCTCCCCATTGCCTCTAGTTCTCCTTCTGGGGTCAATTAGAACAAAGCTGGTCACTTCTCTACAAGACAGCTCCCCAATATTCAAGGCAGCTCTCAAGCTCCCCTCTCGTTCCTCAGGTTAAACCTCCCCACTTCCTTTGACTCATGGATCATGGTCCTTTCACATTACTAATGATGCTCAGTGCCATGCTCAAGGTCTCCCAGGTAGTCAGGATTTGAATCCAGGACCCACGACACTAAATCTAGCCCACTACTCACTGCACCACTTAACCACTCTTCTCAGCCCAGAATTAGAACATCCACCTGAAAAAGACTCAGGTGGAAGTCCGTCAGAACTGTTGCGTGTCTTAACTCTGTTAATCTTAACTCTGACATCATGCGGCATTTGGGGTGAATCACCCCAAGGAAGAACTGAAACCCCCAAATGCCGCATGGTCTCGGGGATGTACAAAAGGCCTCTTTTTTTCCTCAGTTTCCTCATCTGTAAAATAAGGGGGTTGGACAAGATACTTTGACATCTCTTCCAACTCTTGTTTAAAAAAAAAATCACCATCATCCTTTAATTAGGGCTTTAGGATTTACAAACACATTGCATGTTATCTCACTTGACCCTCACAATAACCCTGTTACTTCCCCCATTTTACAGATGAGGAAGTCGAGGCAGACAGGTGAAATGCCTTGCCCAGGGACTGAGTCAACGCCCAGGGCCAGCGTCTGAGGCAGAATTTGAACTCTAAGCTCTATTCATTCTACCATCATTATGCCACCTCATGATTGACTCTTAATGCCATGTTGTGATAGCATTCCACCTGCAATGTCACCGTGTAGGCTCACTTTGAATTTGCTGTCCACTAGGACTCGCAGATCTTTTCCTACAGAAATTGCTGGCTCACCATGGCTTCCCCAGGTTAATTTTTCAAATCCAAGCATAAGAGGTCATTATGGAATGGACAAGAAAATGTTCTCCATCAATCAATTAATCAATCAAGCATTTATTCAAAGTATCATAGAATTGAAAGGGTCCTCAGAGTCCAATTTGCCCCTGAAAAAGGTAACAGATAGAGAGACGGCCTGGAAGCCAGAAGACCTGGGTTCAAATCCTGCCTCTGGCACATCCTAACCATGTAATCCTGGTCAAGTGACTCGTTGGTCTGGGTAACCCTCTTAAGATGATAAGTTGCAGAGAAGGGGCTGGTTGGCACTGAGAGGGGGAGTTTCCTCATCTGGCTCTGGCATTTCCCTAAACCAGTGAAATCAGGGGACTAGGCCCTATGCCCTCTTCACTTGAATAACTCAAATATGACATAACTAATTCCCAAGACAGTCTCTTCTACTCTGGGGTAGTTCATTGTTGTTGTTTTAATGAGTTTTATTTTAATTTTAGTTCCAAATCTTCTTCTTCCCCATCCTCCACCACACTCATTGAAAAGGTGGGAAAAAACTGGGACAGTTCTACTAGTTAAGAAGGTTTTCTTTAAATGACACTTGTGCCTGGCATCAGCATAACAGACATGATCCAGGAAATACACGCTGGTAAAATTAAATGCTTCCTATGTACCAGGCACCAAGAATACAAAGGACTTTAGAAATTAGCTCCAGAGGGGTGTGATGTCTTAGAGACAGAAGGATGAAAGATCTAATACTGAGGGCCTTGTCAATTTTATGGAACCTACATCCAGCTCGCTGCTCACCTGCCATGTTGAGTTTTCTAGGCTAAGGTGAGGTGTGGCATTTTGGGCTCCTAACTTATTGAACACAGCCTCACTCCAGCATTAAGTCTGTATCCAGCATTAACTGAAAGGAAAAGACCCAATAAAAACACTGAAGTGGACCTAGAAAGTGGGTAGCTTCTGTCACAGCTGCCAAAAGTCCTGTGTGGGTGCTATTGGTCCTTTTATCTTCATTCTGTAGATGAGAAGATGAGCTCAGAGAAATTCCACTTCTTTTTTGCAGAGAGGAAATGGATAGAGAGCGGGCCTGAAAACCAGGAAGGGACAGGGTCAGGTCCTGTGTAGAACCAATGAGCTTCTCCCCATACTCATATGCCTTGGCTCTATTAAACTATGAAATGGTTAGCAATCAGAGGAGGAAAGGTAACTTCATGACTCCAGCCCAATTTCCTTGTCTTTCTTTAAACGAGAAGTAGAATTTATAGAATTCCATTATCTAACTCTCATATAGGATCAGCACAATACTTCACGACCAAAATTTCACTACATTGCTAAAATTTTTGGCTTAGAGTCTGTTTTCAGAATCCACATGGGAACACATCACCAGGTTATTCAGGATTCTAACTCATCCCTAAGCATTCCCCACTCCCACGAAATTTTGGAGTCACATGGTAGTAGAGAAAGCACTGGACTTGGAGGCAGGAAGACTTGGGTTCAAATCCCACCTCAGACATTTACTAGCTATGTGACTCTGGGTAAGTCACTTCACTTCCCTGTTGGACATGATGGCCCCTTCCAGTTCTAAATATCTATGCTCTATAACCTGGCTCTGTCACTTAATACTTGCTGACTGGGTCCATTAAAAATCTGTTTCATAATTCTGATTGGGCCCTCACTTCAGCAAGGCAATCTATTTGCACCATCCTGGCTGACTCACTATCCTCATAATCTCAAGTTTGCCTTATGTATAGTTTGCTTGTACGTGGCTGTTTGCATTCTGTCTCCCCTACCATACCATGAGCATCTTGAGAGCGGGGACTGTCTTTTGTCTTTCTCTGTATCCCCAGGGTTTAGCACAGTGCCAGGCACATAGTAGGCTCTTAATAAATTCTTTTTTACCAACTCACTGTGTGCCCTTGTACAAGCAGCATCACCTCCCAGGGCTTCAGTTTCTTCATCTGTAAGATGAAAGAGTTGGGCTCTAAGGTCGTTTTTCTTTGTTGTCGTTCAGTCGTTCTGTTACGTCTGCTCTTCATGACCTCACGGACCATAGCGTGCCAGGCCCTTCTGTCCTCCACCATCTCCCAGTCTGTCCAAGCTCATGCTCATTGCTTCCATGACACCATCTGTCCATCTCATCCTCTGCCATCCCCTTCTCCTTGTGCCTTCCATCTGTCCCAACATCAGGGTCTTTTCCAATGAGTCCCATCTTCCCATTATGTGACCAAAGTATTTAAGCTTCTGCTTCAGTATCTGACCTTCTAATGCACAGCCTGAATGAATTTCTTTAAGCATCGACTGATTTGATCTCCAAGGAACTTTCAGAAGTCTTCTCCAGCACCACCATTTGAAAGCATCCATTCCGCAGCGCTCAGCTTTCCTTATAGTCCAACTCTCACAGCCATACGTTGCTACTGGAAAAAACCATGGCTTTGACTACATGGACCTTTATCAGCAAGGTGAGATATCTACTTTTTAGTCTAGATTTCCCATAGCTTTCCTTCCAAGCATCTTTTAATTTCATGGCTACAGTCACCGTCTGCAATGATCTTTGAGCCCAGAATATAAAATCTGACCCTGCTTCCATTTCTTCTCCCTCTGTTTGCCAGGAAGTGATGAGACCAGTTGGCAAGATCTTAGTATTTTTGATGTTAAACTTCAAGCCAGCTTTTATACTCTCCTCTTTTACTCTCATCAAGAGGCTTCTTAATTCTTCTTCACTTTCTAAGGTCCTTCCCAGCTCTAAATCTACAGTCCTATGATCCTAAATACAGCAGGAGAACAAATAAGACACCCTTCTAATTTCATCTTTTGTATGTATGAGCCCACATTGGGCTTAATTTGGCATAAATACTCACAGAGGCTTCAATGTCGGAAGTAACTAACTTTGTCATCAGATCACAAAGTTAGAGCTGGAAGAGTCCTTACAGATTCATTGATTCTAACCACGTCCTGAGACATGAGTTCAAATCTGGCCTCAGACACTTACTTAGCTGTATGACCCTGGGCAAGTCACTTAACCCTGTTTGCCTCAGTTCCTCATCTGTAAAATGAGCTGGAGAAGGAAATGGCAAACCACTCCAGTATCTCTGCCAAGAAAACCCCAAACGGGGTCATGAAGGGTAGGACACAACTGAAATGACTCAACGACAAATCCAAGCCTCCACTACACTGCTAGCCAAAAGCACCTTCTCTGCTTAGCCTTCTCAGCTCTTCAGAACCTGCACGTGACCCAAGCTCTGATTTCAATACAATGAAGTCTTGCAACCACATAAGAGCCATGATGCAAAAATGGAGCAGGGCTTCTCCTGAGAAAGGAAGAATACCACTTTTATCTAACTGTGACACTGAGGAAAAAAGGAAAGAGCCCCAGCTCTGCCACCAACTTTGTGACCTTGGGCAAGTCCACTTCCCACCTCTCTGGGTCTCAGTTGCCTCTTATGCAAAATGAAAGGGTTGGTCTCGATGGTCTCAAAGGTCCGTTTCAAGTCTAAATTTATGCCTCTGTTGCCTGGGCAGGCCCGGGACAACAGCGGAAAAAAATAGGGAGTCTTGATGCTGCTATTTGGTTGCGGCTTTGCCACTCACTCCCTGGATAGCCCGGGGCAGGACGGTGCCATTGCTCTGGGCCGCCATTTTTTCAGCTGTAAAATGAAGGGGTGAAATGACTGTCAAGATCATAATTTTTCAAAACGACACTCATGAATGGACAGAACTTTTAGCAAATATATTTTAAATGATAAACCAAAAGGGTTTGGACTCAGTCACCTCTGAGGCCCCTCTCAGCTATGAGCCTATAAATTTCTTCTCTCTGAGTCTCAATTTCCTCATCTGGAAAGTGAAAGAGTTGGACAATATGGCCTCTTTCAGCTCCAGATTCTCTAATCTGGCTAACTAGTTTAGGTTAAGGGGAAGTCATTTTGACTCAAGCTCAGTACATATGGAAGAGAAAGCTCCAAACAGATCCTGTTGGGGCCACTCACAGGCTTAATCTTTAGGCAACAGGAAAAGCAAAGCAAACGAGTGGGAGACGGTTGCCTTTTTCATTTCTCTGATAACTCTGCTATTCTTCGGGGACACACCTGAGCTGACCATCGCTTTCAGCTCTGTCCTTGGGTCCCAGAAGCGCCTGGTTTTTGTCATTCGGTGGGCACAGGAGGGCATCCCAGCAGAACACTGGTCCCTCTCACAGAATATCCTAATACCCCACAGACGTGCCTGCGTTCTTTCCCCCATGATCCAGTGACCTTAATCTCTAACATTTTGTGATTTCCTGTTTGGGGAAGCGATCATTCTGAAGTCTGGGCTGCTCCAGTCTGTACGAGGCTCCTGGCTGGTGCTAGCTATCTGTATTTGTTCTGAATGCTCCCCTGTTCTTGGACCAAAAAAAAAAAACAATAAAAAAGAAACTTCCTCACAGATGCTAAATCACCGAATCTCCTCCAAGGAGGCAGGAGTTTGAGGCTTTTCCCTTGCTTGTCTCCACACTTGGGCACAATCCTTGCTGAGCAAGGCGCCCTTTCTTCCTGGAGGGATCAGGCAGGCCCTGGATGCTGCCCTCTGTCCCATGCATCACAAAGCTTTCTAAACCTTCTGCCTACGGGGTTTAATTTCACTGAAACTCCTCCTCACAAAGGGAGATTCCCATGTGTCTCCAAGGCTCAGGATCAAAACTAAAAAAACGGACCTGCAGCTGAAGAGTTGAAAATTCATTCAACATCCTGTCTTGACCCCAAAGCATTAACCTTCCTGCACAGCTGCCCTCTCACTTGAGCCATCCCCCCCCAGCCAGTGTTTTTCCATCATTCAGACATCCAGATCTTTGCTTATGTACAGTATTTGGCCTGGAAATCTTGCATCTGGCCATTTGGATTGTCTTGCCCAAGAAGCCTGAGTGTCCAATGCCTGCTGGGAGGACCGGGGGAAAACAGAATCCTACTATGGACCACCCTCAGAACTCCTCCAAGCCTTCCCCGTGTGGCCTCTGATTCAACAGAAAGGAAATGGGAAGAGAAGGAAGGGAGAGAGAGCCTGGGCTAACATGCAGCCTTCTGCCTGCCAGTCCATGTTTCTGCCAGCTCCGGTTCTGCTCGGCCTTGGGAGGGAAAAGAAAGCTCTCTCAAAGCTGGGACTTAGGCCAGCAATTACACAAATGGCCTGTTTCCATCAAACATAATGATTCTTCAGTCGGATCTTGACTCTAAACATTTTAGGATTTTAAAAGGGGATAGAAGGTAAAGCTGTGTACCCAAGGATGCAGGAAACCATCCCAACGCTCTAAAACATAAGCCAGGGCAATCATACAAGTCAAGCGATGATGAAACTATACTCTTTGACCCAATGAACCTACGAGTGGTCAGTGAGGCAGTGAATAGAGCACTGGGTCTGGAGTCAAGAAAGCCCGAGTTCAAATCTGCCCTCAGACATGTGCGACTCTGGACAAATCACATAACCTCTGTTTGCCTCAGTTTCCTGATCTGTAAAATGGGGATAACAACAGCAATCTACCTCCCAGGGTTGTTGTCAGGATCAAATGAGATAATCATTGTACCTGGCACACAGTAAGTGCTGTATAAATATTAGCTATCATCACCATCATCATCATCATATGGCCCAAGGAGATCTGAAAAAAGAAAGGTCTTAGATATATTATTCACAGCAATACTCTTGATCATCCTATCAATGGCCCTGCTCCCACAGCCCCAAACCCTGCCCCTTTCCACATATTGCTCAGGGCACGATAATCACATCTGCAATACCATTGCTTCTCAAAAGGGTATGCCCCCTGCTGTCTCTGCAGACCAATTCACCAACCCCATCACTCTCTAGACTGTGACATCCTTCCCTGTCTGCCGCCCTGCTCTGTCGTTGGTCTTCCCTGATGAGAATGGAAACTCCCTGATGGCAGGGGTTGTCTCACTTTTTGTCTCTGCGTCCCCAGGGACTGGCACAGTTCCAGGCACATAGTAAGGTTTTAATAAATGCGTTTTATTCCTTTCATTCAAAGCAGAACTCTGAACAAATGAAGAAACACTAGTTGACCAAAAAACAAATAATGAGATGTGACACCCTTTTCTCAGTCGAGAGACGAGGGCCTGCTATGACACAGCATTGCACAGTCTTGTTGGACATGGTTACTGGCAGGTATTTCTGCTCAGTATCTTTCTTTGTAATAGAGAGGGGGCAGCTAGGTGGCACCACAGTGGATAGTGCCTGGGCCCGTTCAAATCTAGCCTCAGACACTTGCTAGCTTGCCTCAGTTTCCTCATCTGTAAAATGAGCTGGAGAAGGCAAGACAAACCACTCCAGTACCTCTGCCAAGGAAGCCTCGAATGGGGTCATGAAGAGTCAGACACAACTTTAACAATTCAACCTCAGGAACAATAAAGGAGTCATAGAAGATATGGAGAGGGGCATTTCCAGAATTGACTATGATTGGAAAAGGTGAGGCACCAGTAAAACTTATTTTTTTTAATGAAAATTTAAAAAAAAAAACAAGACTAGAACAGAAAACTACCTTGTCTTGGTGGTAAGAAAAAAAAATGGCACTCATAAATGGACATTCATTGCCTCTTCATTAGGAAAGAGAAATCCCCAGCATCATCGGGGTCCTTCTTTCTCCTCACACAGGCCTACGGATGGGAGAATTCTTTTGTTTGGCCTCACGTCCCATCATCTGCTCCAGATGCACCTTCTCCCTCCCCCACCTCAGCACAAGGGCTTGTGTCTTGCCCCTGCTAGCCATCAATAATCCAATTTTAATGAGCTGGAAATAAGCTAAGGCAGGTCAGCTTCCTCTGCTGACATGCTCCTGGCCTGTGGAATATGGGCTCCAAGGATGACCCATGGGTCACCCCCAAAGGGCTGGGACACTCTGGGAGCTGAGCTACCCACACAGACACAGAAATAGTTAGCATCCTGCCCCAAATGATGCACCACAGATCTGATTTCTTTTCATTATTAAAATGAGTGCTTTAGTTGACCCACATTCACTCTGAACAATGCCCACCCCCACAAACACAGAGACACTGTGCAAGGAATGACTCCCTTTGATTCATATACTGCAAAGTCCGGAGACTGTAGGTTTATAACATCTAGG